GTCCCGCCTGACCTGGGGTCTCGTCGAGAGCATCGTCTTTGGGGACAATGTTCGAAGGGTCAACATAAGATTCCTCCCTCCCTCCCTCACTCACAAAAAGGAGGCACGCAAGCTGTGATCTAGACACGATACCGAGGTTGAATCAACCACCGTAGTGTCACGACAACAGATGTCGAGGACTCAATTTTGAGCCATTCGTGCGACAGTGCACACGGGAGGCCAACATGTGCCCCCGCCAATGCAACAAAACTAAGTGGTTGTTATATGTGGGGGACGCGATGCGTGACGCCTAGGCAGACGTGCCCTCGGCCAGAAGGCTCCATCCTGCAATTCACACAAAGTATCGCATTTCACTACGTTCTTCATCGATGCGAGAGCCGAGATATCCGTTGCCGAGAGTCGTTGTGAATAATACGACAAGAATGCTTTGCCCCCCTCACACCGAGATCGGGGCAAGGGGAAAGCTTATACCTTTGAGATCCTTGGCGCGACTTGCGCCAGTTTTTGTTTGGGCCTCAGAGGGTGCACGAATGCTCCCCCCGACACAAAAAGTTTGTAAACACGTTCATGGGTCGTTTGATGTTTAGGCATCGACAATGATCCTTCCGCAGGTTCACCTACGGAAACCTTGTTACGACTTCTCCTTCCTCTAAATGATAAGGTTCAGTGGACTTCTCGCGACGTCGCAGGTAGCGAACCGCCCATGTCGTCACGATCTGAACACTTCATCGGACCATTCAATCGGTAGGAGCGACGGGCGGTGTGTACAAAGGGCAGGGACATAGTCAACTCGAGCTAATGACTCGCGTTTACTAGGAATTCCTCGTTGAAGACCAACAATTGCAATGATCTATCCTTTAAGTTTCAGCCTTGCGACCATACTCCCCCCGGAACCCAAAGACTTTGATTTCTCATAAGGTGCTGGCGGAGTCCTTAAAGCAACATCTGCCAATCCCTGGTCGACATCGTTTATGGTTGAGACTAGGACGGTATCTGATCGTCTTCGAGCCCCTAACTTTCGTTCTTGATTAATGAAAACATCCTTGGCAAATGCTTTCGCAGTTGTTCGTCTTTCATAAATTCAAGAATTTCGCCTCTGACTATGAAATACGAATGCCCCTGACTGTCCCTGTTAATCATTACTCCGATCCCGAAGTCCAACAGAATAGGATCGAAATCCTATGATGTTATCCCATGCTAATGTATACAAAGCGTAGGCTTGCTTTGAGCACTCTAATTTCTACAAAGTAACAGCGCTGGAGGCACGACCCGATCAGTTAAGGTCAGGAGCACATCGCCGACAGAAGGGATGAGCCAATTGGTGCTCACCATAGGTGGACCAATTGACCCAACCCAAGGTCCAACTACGATCGACCCAGACTTGCGATTGCAACCCAAAAACTCGTGCCTTGAATCAACGACCCGCGCCTCGGCCTGACTTCGGCTAGCACACGCAGCTGCTCCTGGTTGCACCACGTGTAAGCATCTGGCACAAAACTCTCTTCGGCTCCGACAATAGCTTCTCGACTCCGGCAGCTTATTTGGCTCGTAAAACCTATTTCCGACCTGTTCGACACTTTCATCGAGTCTAGTGACAATGGTGTATCTTGATCGAAGGCAGTTAGAGAATTTAATGAGGTGGAAGGCTGAGGCACAACTTGACGAACTACAGTGCAAGAGCTGTATGAGAGAGAGATAGAGGGACGGTGGTAGGGCCGAGCAACGCCGAGCAATAAGTAACTAACCCCAACTTGCTCTTAGATTTCAAATGGTTTGACATGAAATGAGCTACTCTTTCTACCAAACCTCAAAACACCTCTTCTTTTATCTACTTTGTGTTGTTTATATCATTCTCCTAATCTTTTGGATAGCGTTACTCGTAACTTGTACTAACAGAATGCTTAATAATTTGCGTTTTACTACCTCATCTTAGTAAGCAAAGATTCTGCACCTTTTTTGCCATGTCGATGATTGCCTGATAGCTATTATTATATGAGCATTCCATGAACGGCAAGTTGGAGGTCCAACTACCAAGAAAATCCAACATACAAACGCTTTGCATATCTTCTAAGATCTTGTTCAAACATTTTGTTTGGTCATCCATCTATGAGTAAAAGGTTGTGCTAAACTTTAGTACACCTTAAAACTTAAAACTTCGCAAAAGATGGACATGAAACGAGGATCTCATTCCAATACAATAGAAATAGAATCTGATGTCTCACATTGGCTGGGGAGGAGAAAAAAACACCATTTATAAGGGTGTGGAAACCTTTCCCTAGCATACGCGTTTTAAAGTCTTGAGGGGAAGCCCGAAAGGAAAAGTCCAAAGAGGAAAAAATCTGCTAGCAGTAGATCTAGACTGTTACATAGAAATCCATATAATCTAACAACTTAACTAAGATTCATTTACATACTTAAATCATAAGATTAACCATTCAAGGCCTTTAGTCATTACGTTGTACCTGTAGGTTCTAAACTCAATCCAAACTTCTTGAAATCTTAATGTGCATTGAAGCTAAGTTGAGGCATACACAAAGTTCGAGAGAACAATGCGATACAATTATCGAAGACAAGCTTGAAGAGAGCCATGTAGGACCTCGAGCCAAAACCTCAGAAGTTAGGATCTTAAAATCCTAGTGTGCATTGAAACTAAGTTAAGGCATACACAAAGTTCGAGAGAACGATGCGACACAATTATTGAAGACAAGCTTGAAGAGATCCATGTAGAACCTCGAGCCAAAACCTCAGAAGTTAGGATCTTGAAATCCTAGTTAACATTGAAGCTAAGTTGAGGCATACACAAAGTTCCAGAGAACGATGCGACACAATTATCGAAGACAAGCTTGAAGAGATCCATGTAGGACCTAGAGCCAAAACCTCAAAAGTTAGGATCTT